ATCCTTCTACACCCAGTTGGATTTTGCAGTATGCTGGGCTTGTGTGGCCCTCCTGACCCACAATCCTCTGCACAGTGGAACGTACATCACAGTCTGTGTGACGACAAACGAGCTCGAGCCACCGAGAGCGCTCATGTCACACCTCAGGATGTGACGGTGAAAGCTTAAGGTGCAATATTGTCATAAATGTAGGTTGCATTTATGCTGCATGCAACAGTACAAACTATAAAGAAAAAGTACGCAATATGGACACAAACACTGCAGCAAAAAAACAATAAATTTGGTCTAAAACAACGGATGACAACGGAGCGACTGATCCCACGTAGAGCTGCAGTAATAAATTATATAAATATGTGAAGAGAAATTATTGCTCTACCGTTACAAACGAGCCTCAAATTAGACAAAGCAGGCAAAAAAAGTGACTTAAAGCTGCAACAGGAAGGAAAAAAATAAAAAGGAAATATGAAAAAAAAGCCCTAAAAACACTAAAATTCAACATTTATATGAATCTTCACACAGGACTGGAACCAACTCCGGAGTCTGTTCAACCCCATCAGCCACCATGTTGGCTCTGTTCAACCCCATCAGCCACCATGTTGGCTCTGTTGCTTCCCATAGGTCACTTGCAAAGACCTGCGACTGGCCTCCCATCGCTTCAGACATTTTCTAAAGCCTGAAAGTGGAGCCAAGAGCAGGGCAGCAGTTTAGTTTCCTCTAAGATTACTTGAATTTGCTGAAAGCTTAGTTTGGAATTTTTGCTCAGTAGTAATAAAAAAAAAGAGTCCAGCTTTAGGGGAAGTGGAGTTTTTTTTACTCTACATTGAACAAAATGCAGGAATTCGGGGGAGAGGAACATTGTCAAGTCTGCTTCAGCATTAAAAATCATCTACTTTCAGAAAATTAAACATCAGCACAACGTAACATCAATACGTCGAGCAACCCAAACATCCACCTCTGAGTCCGAGCTGCAGGTTTAAATGTGCTTCACCTGTACTTTGGGGCTGTGATGTAAAAGTTCTAGATGTGTGTGACGCCTCATGGTTGGTGCTGTGAAAGCCAGCGAGTCTTCAGCATAGAAAAATGTAGATTTTCAAAGATTCCCTTCTTCAGGTGTCTGCCTCACTGTCCTCCATCGCCAACCAGTCGGTGGAAGATGGAGTTGTCGGTTCGGCAGAGAGCAGCAGGAGTGTCGAACTCCACCACCTTTCCAGCTTGCATCACCAGCACTCGGTCACAGTCCATGATGGTGTTGATCCTGGTCAAAGACACGGACAGAAATGAAGAATGAGTCAAGAGTCCATCCATCCATTATCTATACACCGCTTAATCCTCTGCAGGATCATGGGGGGCTGGAGTCTATCCCAGCTGACTCAGGGCGAAGGCAGGTTCACCTGGACAGGTAACCAGTCTATCACAGGGCTACACTTAGAGACAGACAACCAAGCACACTCACATTCACACCTACGGACAATTTAGAATCACCAATTAACCTCAGCATGTTTCTGGACTGTGGGAGGAAGCCGGAGAACCCGGAGAGAACCCACGCTGCACGGGGAGAACATGGAGACTCCACGCAGAAAGATCCCGGGTGTCGTTCTTCTAGCTGTGAGGTGCTAACCACCGAGCCGCCTTGCAGCCCCAGAGTCAAATCTGAAATCAACTCTTCCTTCAAAAAAACCTGTTTTACAAGGACTTTAAAAATGTAGGTTTGCTTGTGATGTAAATGAAATGCTGCAGCTATTACGGCACAAGGCTCTGAGACAGAAAGGATTTTTTTATTCAAGACATGTGAGTCAGAAAACGTTACCTGTGGGCGATAGTGAGGACGGTCTTGTCCTGAAACTTCTCTCTGATAGTCTGCTGTAGTAGTTTGTCCGTCTTCTGATCCACGCTCGCCGTCGCTTCGTCGATACACAGCACCTACATGGAGGGACAACACCTCGTCATACGTTCCAGTGTTAGAATTTGAAGGTATTTATTAGAAACAGAAGCTGCAGCTGTGTAGGAATGACTGAAAATGATGCAAAGAAATGAATAGAGACAGCATCAACCACAGGATCAACAGTATCAGGAAAACATGTTCTTGTTTTGATGGTTGGATGAGGTTGAATGTTTAACGTGTTTAAACAATTTGCAGTAGTACATATGAGTGAATGTTCACAGCTTCTGTAGGACCGGGTTCACTTCTAGAGCCGTCAGAGGTAAAGTGGTTCACACTTAGATGGAAAATTAAATGTCTTTAGAAGCACTGATGTGTTGCGTTTGTTCTTTCCTGTACTGCAGAACCAGAACAAGAACAAAAGCCTCGGTCAACGCCTGTCTCAGCGAACAGGCTGTCAAGATCTAAACAGGTTAAGGAGTGCCAAGGTCATAATTAGAACAAATCAAACGCAGCGCCATCATTTCTTTTGTCGCCAGGTGAGTTTTTATTATGTGGGGAGTAATTAAATTGCCAGAACAAGCTGCATACTTTTAGGTCTTTAAGTCTGCACGCTAACAACTCTCAGCAGCAGCATTTAAGTGAAAAACTAAATGTGTTTGGTTAGATAAACCTCCAGCTCTGCTTCACCTGCTAGTCGACGGCTTTCTCGCCTCGTTACATCACACCGCTGCAGCAAACATGACACATATCGGGCTGCAGTAATCTGGGTGCAAAAGTATTTTAAATGCACCAGAGATGTCCAAACCAGAACACGAAGGTGGTTATGCACGCTGTTATATAAGGTTTGTGAAAATAGAAGTCATAAGAACAAATTAAAACCGTATATTGGCACAACTTGGGCAAGATAAAAGAAAAAACTCTGATGGTCACCATGTGTCCATCATATTAAGTCACATCTTCTGTTGTCGTCTTTAACTCGAGGCAGCAGCTGTTCTGTTTCCTCGTAGCGCGGCTGCCGTGTACCAACAGTTATCTCAGTTGAAAACAAAATGTTTCCGTTTTTACTGAATTGTTGTTTTTTGTCGCCTGGAACGCTGCAGGCTGTTGGTGCTTCGTGTAACGACACCACGGAGGTCTCACCTTGGCCTGTGTCAGCAGAGCTCTGGCCAGACACAGCAGCTGCTTCTGTCCTGCAGAGAAGCACTTTCCTCTCTCGCCCACCTCAGCATCCAGACCACCTGATATTCACACACACACACACAGCATTAGAGATCCTGCAGCTGATACCGTCGCATACACCTGCTCAGGCATCAGTTTGCCTGTTAAATGATGACGTGTTTAATAAGATCAATTAAAACAGAGAGAAGAGAAAAACAAAGACAATGATGTTAGATCATGAAATATAGTTATCAAAGCATCGAGTCCAACTTCTAGAACGCTAAACAAACATAAGTGAATGGATAACGAACACAGCGGCTGATTTAATGCGTTAAAACAACTCGATCATTAATATCAGTCAGTGTTTTTGATCCACGCTTATTTTCTCCACAGACGAGGCTTTTGAACCAAAACAAACATTCTGTACCACCGGCTGCACGTTCATCGTCCATGTGACCAACAGGAACAGCAAAGGGTGGCAGTGAGTCAGGTGGTTTCACAGCAGACACACCTCGACTGAGAAGCCATCACTGTGCTCTGAGGCTCATCCTGAACCGACTGTGTCACTTTACTAACAGCGTCTCACCCATCCTGCTGACCACAGCGCTGAGGTGACACTGGTCCAGGACATCCAGCAGCTGCTGCTCCAGGTGCTGCCCACGGGGGTCCAGATTCTCCCTGATGGTCCCGCTGAACAGGAAGGGGTCCTGAGGGATAATGGCCAATCTCGACCTGCAGAGGGCGCCAACATCACCGCACAGCGCAGTCAGCCACATGTTATAGCAAAGATGGTACCGTGTGTGTGTGTGTGTGTGTGTGTGTGTGTGTGTGTGTGTGTGTGTGTGTGTGTGTGTGGTTCTGTGTGTGTTGTCATGGCAGAGTGTGTTCCTGGACACACCTACTGCGGTGAGAACTGAGACAAAGTAAAGTACTTTGGCACTTGTTTATGTCTGTTTGCTCCGTCAACATGACAGCGCGTCACAACTGTGAATGATTCAGTCATGAACCTTCAGAGGAATGTAGTTGGGATCAAAATGATGAAGATCGAGTTCAGAGATGGGTGTGGTCCATCCAATGAGTACTCACGTAATGATATAGCAATGACGACTAACATCGGGGCGAACAACAACACAGGTGTGATCCCCTCGCAGGAGGAATGAAAAACTGTGATTATCTCTAAAAATGTGTTGATTTGACATTTCACAATTTGTCGTGTGATTTCCATATGCTTACTGTTACCTGTTTGAAAAATGTTTCCTATTATTATTATTATTATTATTACACCGTGTTGTTGTTCTTCCCAACAGTTTGTTTCCTTTGTTTCCTTGTCTACTGCTTTTTTCTTAACTGATGTGTGCTGCTGTCTGTGTCGGTGTTTCCCTGAGGTACCCCACTAAAGGGATCAATGAAGTTCTATCTAACCTCTGATCTAATCTCTTGTATAAATTTCATCCACCACCAATTTGAGCTCACCTCAGCTGAGCCAAGCCCACGGTGCTAATGTCCAGCTGATCCAGAAGAATCTGGCCCTGGTTCAGGTCCACCATACGAAACAGTGCCAGGAACATGGTGGACTTGCCAGAGCCCGTACGGCCCACAATGCCTATTTTCTCCCCGGGTCGCACAACCAGGCTCACGCCGTCCAGGGCGTTAGGAAAACCGTCCCTGTAGGCCAAAGCCACATCGCGAAACTCCAACCAGCCCTGCTCAGGCCATGCAGGAGGCAGCTGAAAAATTTAATTCAATATCAGGTTTTTGTTACCATACCAATAGTCAAAGAGCCAAAAACAATTTCTGCATAAACAGGAGAAGAAAACAGACCAGAGTCACCACAGAAATGAAGTGTGTGACCACAACCACAAATATAGTACAATCTTGAAGACACTTGCTGTAGCCTCGGCTGTGGAGTTGTTTTTTCATGAGTCAGAGAAAGTTAGACCAAATGCAGAAGTCCTGATGCTTCAAGGGAAAACAAATCTGAAATGAGTCACTACAACAAAACTAAACGTATTAAGATATCGTTATCAGAATAGTTGGATTAGTTATATAGTTAGAGTACGACAGTGTAACTGGAATGCCTGTGGATTTAGTGTCTCAGTGTCTTTTGTCTCTTCGTGTAACGTCAGACTGATTTCCTGATGTTGAGATCCGGACTTTGTGGGAACCAGAACATTCACTGCAGGACTCCCTGTCGTTCTAGTGGCTGAATACAGTTCTCAGTGACTTTGGTTCTGTATTTGGAGTCTTTGTCATGCTACAAAATGATTTTTTAAGACAGTCGGATGTCTGCCTGATGTTATCAGAACCAGTGAAGCAGTGTGGAGAACCGGCTTCAAGCAACAGCAGCACTTTATCTTCACCTGTCACAGGAGACGGGGCGATATTTAAGATAAAACTTGTTTGTATTCAGGGAGGTGCAGGTTGTAACCTGAGGCTGTAAAGGAAAGGATACTCCTGCACTTCTGCATGTCATGTTACGACCAAAAAGCAAGCTCCATTTACTGAAGTAGGTCATAAGATACAGTCAGGAGCTCTGGAAAGACCTGATACCGATACCTGATGTTAAGTTAACGTCAGCAGCAGCGTGGTCTGACCTGTGCGTTCTGATGCTGTGGCTCCATCGGCAGGCCGGTGGTGTATTCTTCTGTTCGCTCCACACTCACCAGCTGGATTTCAGTCTGTGTGAAGTTAACAATGAGGCCAGCCAGCTGCGCTGTGATGGACAGAGAGTAGGACAGGGACAAACCCACCAGACCTGACAGGAACACACACACACACACACACACACACACACACACACTTAGTTTTACTTAACACATAATTAAACATCTCATACACGGGGGCACAGCCGTCACATTCAGCTGTCTCACCTGGATCAACAGAATTAAAGTGATGCTGAATGACAGCAATCACCCCGAGGGCTGTCACCACAGCAACACCAATCAGCTGCAGGCGGATGTTCAGCCACTGCGAGGCTGCGTTGCTAAGAAACAGGCAACGTTGGTTCTGCTCCAGACGCTTGGAGTTCTCCTCCTCAAATCTAAAACAACAGCAAACAGTCCCTTTAGAGTTGTGTGTCGAGAGCCACTTAGCGCTACATGTGATGGCTGTGAAGACGTAATGAAAATGGCACTAAAACGACACGCCGACGCAAAAAAATAAAAAAGGTTTTTGCTAAATGACATCAAATCTATCATTACTGCTCGAAGACACTTTTGTCAGATGTTCTGGAGAAAGTGTGCAGATGTTTTAAGCTACATTTGCAGTTTTAACCTCCATAAAGCAGCTGTTTGTTTTAGAAAAGTGTACAGCAGAGTATAAAAAGGCCTGTCAAGTGTGCTTTTGATTATGGAAGAAGATATCTCATAAATAATGAGTGACTGTAGTGGACTTATGTATTTGTGATATTAACAATATTTTAAGGTTTTACAGTAAGAAGAGAAGATTTTTGATATAATGTCTCGAAACAGCTAACGACCAACAACTTAAAAAGGAAAAAAACTGTCATTTTGTTAAGAACAAATCCTTAACATCTTGTATAATATGTAAATTATGTTTAAACAATCAAACCTTGCTGTGATTATGTTGTAAAGGTCATTAAATGTGGATAAATTGGTACAAATATAAATGTTGTTAACAGTAAATCAGCCAGTACAGTATTAGTGGCTACTACCAAAATACACAAATGCAAAAGAAAGGTTTGAAGTAATTTAATAAATTAATTTGAAGAGCAGTTTATTTTTGCACTTGTCCTCCAGACTACACATTTGCACAACTCTTCTATAACAATTCCTTCATATCTACATTCCAGTAATTTAAAAAATACATGTATCTGATGTAAAAATCTTCATGTATTGAGCTTTGAAAGGGTCCAACTTCCTGTCTCTCACCTGGCAGAGCTGGCGCTGGCCCGGATGGTTCCCAGTCCGGTCAGCGTCTCAGAGAAGTGTGAGTAGATGGGCGACAGAGTGAGGCTGAAAAGGCGCTTCAGCTCCCGAGAGGTGTGTCTGTAGAAGTTCTGCGTGCGGTGGTAGACCGCGGCCAGGGGAATCAGCGCGACCAGGACCCACGGCAGGCCGTAGCTGATCATCACCAGCATGCCCAGCAGGCTAACAATGTTGGCCAAGAGGATGTTCAGGTTGAAGGGCAGGCTGTCGTCCACAGTGTACAAGTCTGAGGAGAAACGGTTCAGTATGCGGCCGATAGGGGTGGTGTCGAAGAAGGACACTGTGGCCTGCAGGACACACAAACAAGAAGTTATAGAAACGATTATGTATATGAATTATTTTGGTTAGCTTTCATTCAAACTTTAAATTAAACATGGGAAAGGTAGCAAGACATATTTTTTAGAATCCACGTGAAGGCTCCTCTAACACATATTTTTAAATATAGTTGCAAAATGGGAAGTGCAGCTGGTTCAGGAAGTGTTTTTTCCCCATTCTGTATTTGGACTGCAAGGTGGTTCAGTGGTCAGCACCGTCGCCTCGCAGTTAGAAGGTCGCCGGTTCGCATCCCGGTGAGGACACACCGGATCTTCTTCTTCACACAGTCCAAAAACATGTTGAGGTTAATTGGTAGGTGTGAATGTGAGTGTGCTTGGTTGTCTGTCTCTAAGTGTAGACTGGTTACCTGTCCAGGTGAACCTGAGTCAGCTGGGATAGACTCCAGCCCCCCATGACCCTAGTGAGGATTAAGGTGTGGATAGATGATGGATGGATATATTTGGATTTCCTTTTTCTCTTTGAAGCAATGTTACTGAACAACCCTGTGGGTTTATGTTGTTTACACCAGTTATAGTTATTTTTTACTTCTTTTTTGACAAATTAAGATTTGTTTGTCATTTTGTCGTGCTGGAAGGGTCTAAAAAAAAAAAACCAACGGTACCCACAAGCGTTTTGCACCACTGCTGCGGAGAGGACGCTGCTGAATTTAATCCAAACTGACACTGAAGTCATTAAAGCTGATTAATAAACCTTTTGTGTTCTGATCACAACAAATCCAGCTCCAAACCAATTAATGCTGTCGAGGCACCACAACTGTGTGTCATGTACCAGTTTCAAAGGGAAATCCTAATGGAGGTTTTACTTTTGAACCGGGGGGGAGTGAAATTGCTTCTTCACAGATCTATCAACAGTGGACCACATTACCAGAACCCACAGAGCTATCACCTGACTCGATGGTTCCCAGTTTGCTAGAAGAAGCATTTTAGCACTTTAGCTTGGCTTGGTTCTAGTGTTCTGGTTCAGCCGGTGTGCCTGCAGCTGGCATGTCCTTACGTAGACACACAGATAAAACTGCTTTTTCAAATCTGTACACATTCAGCATCCAAGATTCTGGAAAAAAAAGCTGTCTGGAGCGACTGAAGCAACAGGAACAATATAAGCATGAGCTGAATGAGTCTTAAAAAACTCAGCTGAAGTTTGGAGACAGTGTTGTTCTATTTGAAGTGATTACACAAAAGTATTGATTAATAAAACTGCCCTGCACATCATTAGCGATGTACTTTAAGCCACTGAGCAGAACAGGCGGGAAGTTTGAGCAGAACACATCCTGTTCAAGGGCATCTGAAGCTGGAGGAAGACTTTGTTTCAATAACATCCTCCTATGAGCGAGTCTGGAGTTTCAAACTGGCAAACTCTCAGTCACCAGCCTGCTTCTCTAACCTTCAGCTACTGCTGCCAAATATGATAAACACTCAATCTGCTCAGCTCAGCTCTGACTGCTGGCCCGGGCGGTCTGACAGGTGCTCAGGGCTCAAAGCTCAGATGACGCACCTTCAGCATTCGATCCAGAAGTCTGTCGTGGATGGCAGAGGCAGCGCAGATGACTCCGTAGGCAAAAAGAAAGGCTCGCAGGGCAGTGAAGACGGTGTTGGCCACCGCGATGGAGCCGTAGACTGTCAGGTAGAACTGGACATCTGTGCTCATGTTGTTGGAGGCAAAGGCTTGCGCAGAGGGCAGAGGAGATCTGGAAGGGTGGATGTGAAGATTTCATCTCAGTGACAAGGTGGAGCAATTAAGGGAAGGTCGATGAGTATAAAAACAAGATTACTTGAAAGTACAAAAATACATTTTAGGTTTCAGCTGTTGGCGAACTAATCAGAAACTTTCATAAACAACAAATACTGCATGTCACTGTGTCCTTATTTCCTGAACTAGTCTTGATGACGTGTTGCAATTCATTAAAATTCATTATGAAAGTAAATAAGATATTTTATTATTATTATTATTAGTAGTAGTAGTAGTAATAATAATAATAATAATAATAAACAAAAATATTGTTATAATAAAATAAAAAATGAAATAAAATAAATTACCTTTTGTTTTTGTTTTTTTTTTATCTCTGATCATCCCACAGCTAAGTTAACAACTGCACACAAAAGTAAATCTATTTTGTCAATACTTGCTTTCTTGAATCTTTCTGTGTAATAACTAGTATCAGTTTTCACACTATTTCCAAACTTTTAAACTCTATTTTAATTTAAAATTTTGCTGTGTTTGCCGTGTTGAAGTGTATTGTTAAAACATTATGAGCTGTCAAACTCACGTTAGCCAGCCAGGTGAGATAAGCAGCAGGTGAGGGGAACTGTAAACAGCTGAAGAAGAACCGTTAGCGCTGGTGGAACCGTTGTTCTTTAACTCTGAGATCCAGTGGAACAGCCACCAGTCGGACGCATTCTTGGATGCTAAATGACAAAAAAAAAGCAGTTCTTGTCAACATAACTGTGGAAATGAAACAAGAAGAGAGTCTTTTTTTTTTCCTTTTTAGACAGAATACACTGAAGCCTGATTAAACAATCCAAACAGCTATAATAATAACACCCCAGAGTGCTGAAGAGGAAAACAGAACAAACAAAACACCCTTTTAACTGAACTCACCTTAATACTAATCAAGTTATTAAAGCTTGTGATCTACAAACTCATGACAGAACAAAGACATAAACTGGTGACTAGAAGCATTTGTTGAAGGTCATGAGTGGACACAGATTAAACTGAGAAAGGTCAAGCGGTTACTCCAAACCTTGCATGAGCAGCAGAGACATCAAGATGGAAGAGGCCAGCACTCCGCCCACAGCGAGCCAGTAGGTCCGGTAAACTCCCCATGCCAAGCCGCCCACCTGCTTCTGCTCTGAGCTCAACAGGTCGGGATCATCGTCCACACGCAGATCAGGGGGTGAACCCGACTCCTCCTCATCCTGCTCCATGCCTTCTGGTTACCATCAAAACGGGACGAGAAAAAAATGTAAGATTTCTCTACAGCTATACTAGATTTGATAAACAATCAGTAGCAGTCTTAAAGATTACATTGTCCTGGGGAATTTACCCAACAACAGCAGTCAGTCTACAGCCGTGCTAGCAGCTATGTGCTTAGCAGTGCTTCTAGATCATCGCTCATAGCAAAGTACTTCAAATCAAACAACCTTATTTGTCAGTGCACACAACCAAACAAGAAAAAAAGCCTCGTTTAAGGACAACAGGGTGTTTGTTGTTATTTCTGTGTAGTCTAATTGCCTTCACTGTATGCGGTAAGCAAACAGATCATGCTTGCAGTCATGTGAGGACAGCCCCAAAGGCTCATCCTGAAGCCAGAAAAGCCCTGGAATAGTAATTAAATAGCTCGTAAAACATTGTTGTAGTATAGCCGTGTTGAAAAGGTAGGAGTGAGTAAGACAGTTAACCAGCTTGGCCTTGTTCAGAAGTTCAAAAGGCAGATGGAGGGATAACACCAGCTATAGAACAGCTAGTTTTGAGTGACAGATATATCCACAGGCTGTACTGATCATCCAGACACTGTGTCGTGTCACGTCCACCTGAACTCCTTTGTACCTGGTGTGTTTGCTAAATGTTGCTTTCTGGTCCCGTCTGATGAACATGTTCACGATGACACTGTTGGTGTTTAGCAAGTATACCGTTCACCATCTCAGTACACCATTAGGGTAACATCACCAAACTGGGAATGCAGCTGAGGTTTGCAGTGTTTGATCATTCACAAGAGTGAAAAAATAAAATAAAAATCACCTGATGATGGCGCTAGAGGAAAAGTTAAGAAATCTCCAGAGCAGAACATGTCGAGACAGAACCCTGATGGCACTAAACGGATTGTTTGTATTGCTGAAGTCTTTGATTTTCTTGATAGCATAAAAGCATTTACGAAATAATGTACTGATCACGAATGTCGCAATGTTTTACAAGATAAGTGACTTGGTAGAGGAAAAGTTTTAGTCTATCACTTGTAACTTGAGGCACGCGTACCTTTCTCCTTCATGTTGTGATCATTCTTCTGTTTCTTGGGCACTGCCTCCACCAGAGGAAGGATCTCTGCTGGTGTGCCTGTTTGACACAAAGGAATAAGCATAGCTGTAAACTTCCAGTCAACACGCACAGGTTGTACAACATTTCACATAAACCCAACTCACTTAAGATGGTGCTACTCTTACATGTAATAGTTGTTTTTCTAAAATTAGCCAGTGAGCTAAATACAAACAATGGAACGAAGCTGATTTTTACCAGAGCCATGAAGCCCTCCAGCAGGTTTCCTATTATTCTAATTAGCTATGTTTTGAGCTATTGTGTATTCTGAATTCTGAACCTATGATCCTATTTTTTCTACTGAGCACAGTGCACGACCTTGAAGATAACAACTGAAACTCCTCTATTCTGTCAGTTAGGATTGTTACTTTAGACACACACCGTACCAACAGCATCCACACATGATGCTTACCACATTTCGAGAACAGAGCACGGAAGCCTGTCCACGTCATTGGTAACTGGCCAATTATTCTCGGTTGCGTACAAGTCCAACCTCTGTACGAGGCAGGCCCAGCCCAAGAAGATAAATGTGAACCGTTTTCGGATCTTTTGGTAGAGATCTCGCGAGAGCCCTGTCACTCCAAGCCCAGCGCCGCCTCACTTTACACAAATAAATTCTACATCTGTGAACTGAGGATTTCTCCGGTTTGTTCTTTGGCTTCCAACTGAAGAATCGGGTCCAACACCGTCTCCGTATATCAGCTGTCAGAGACTAATGTCTTGTGGGCAATGCCTGTGTTTACAATATTTATAATGATGTAAAATAATGTTGTTTAAGTTGATAAATGAGACAAATTACAAGAAAATAACTCTAATTAGTTCTGGAATATAGCAGCTTACCTATTCATGACCTCACAGTAGATAAGATAAATACTACAGTTGTTACTAAATGGTGTAACATCATGAGATAATGAACATGTAGGACTCTTTAACTGAGTATAAACAGCAAATTGCCCTGATTTTGCTTGTAAACACCAAAAAGTCATCTTACAATATTCTTTCTGGACCAAAACAATTAGTTAAATTTCAGTCCCATGAAAACATTAAAACCTGACGACAACTTTATGTGTAATTTTCAACTTTTTGATTTAGATTTTGGGCTGCAAGGTGGCTCGGTGGCGTGGGTTCTCTCCGGTTCTCCGGCTTCCTCCCACAGTCCAGAAACATGCTGAGGTTAATTGGTGATTGTAAATTGTCCGTAGGTGTGAATGTGAGTGTGCTTGGTTGTCTGTCTCCAAGTGTAGCCCTGTGATAGACTGGTTACCTGTCCAGGTGAACCTGCCTTCACCCTGAGTCAGCTGGGATAGACTCCAGCCCCCCACCACCTTAGTGAGGATGAAGTGGTGTATAGATAATGGATGGATGGATCAGATTTTTGTTTCTACCTGTTTTGATTATCGTTCCGTTGTCCATTAGCACCACCACGTCAGCTTTGTTCACAAACTCTATGCGGTGCGTGCAAAGGATTCTGGTCTTTTCCCTGAGCAGCTCGAGGATACATTTCTTCATGAGGTGTTCGGCAACGTCGGTGTCAACTGCTGCCAACGGATCATCGAGGAGGTAGATGTCTTTGTCCTGGAGTGGTGAGGTTAGGCAGGAAAAGGACAGGAGAGAGAAGCATCATGTAACACCTGCAGATCATCTCTAAACACTGCTTTCCTGGTTTCATTATTGTTTATAGGCAGCACATATTACATTTTAGACATCTGGCCAACTGTCTCACTCAAGCGGGCAAGATGCTAGTGTCTCTATTTTAATCCCTGTTTTCTGCAGATTAACATGTTTGTTTGGTAAAACCTCCTCCGCATCTCTCTGAGCTTGAAGCAGATGGCTGGATGGTGCAGAGGACTGACCATGTAAACAGCTCTGGCGAGGGCCAGCCGAGCTTTCTGTCCTCCGCTTAGAGTCACTCCGTTCTCACCCACTTCTGTCTTGTCACCGTTTGGCAAAACCTGGAGACACAGAAGCACAGGCACTAAGACTCTTTATAAAAGGAACAGTGAATCATATCTCAATTTTGAAAAATGTTCTTAACGTATTTTGGTAAAATCTGCTAAAAACGTACTAATAGAAGCTTGGGCTGCAACAAACTCACAAGAAAGGCTGTCCAAACTAATAGAGATGCATCCTCTGTGGACAATGAATGTGCATATTGTTGTGTTAAGTGATGATTAGAAAGGAAATGTTGATCAGATGGTGTTGTGCAGAAAAGGTCACAGTCCACCTTAATTAAATCTACGGTCCAAAAACATCCAGACTTTATAGATCTCTGTCCAGAAGATAAGTACATCTCACTCTGGGCTAAAGCGCTGGACTGAACTGAACTGTGATCACCATCTTTAGAATCCACCTCTCAAAACAAAGTGTAAATTCCCAGATGAGCCAAACATCACAGCTACTCAACCAGTATTCAATGTGTCTGACGAGGGACAAATTGTTGTGGCTAAATGGCTGAATTAGAGCAACTCCCAAAATGCAAAGCTTGTAGGCTGGTCCCATTGAGCAGTGGCTACTGACAGCAGTTCAAGGAGGAACAAACCTACAACCAATGACATGGTGTTGGAGGATAAGGTAGTCTGACAAGTCAGGACTTAAAGGATCTGCTGCTAACATCTTGGTGTCCAACAGGACACCTTCAGAGGTCTCCCAGAGTTCATGGCTTGGTTGTTTTGGTGGCAAGTCACAGGAGCAACAGGACGATAGGCACAGACGGTCATAATGTTTTCAGTGTCATCAGTGTCTCCCAGTCAGCTCGCCAAAAGATCAACATATGACAATAATTGGAGTAATCTGTACAAATACAGTAAGGAAGAAATATAGAGATTGGAATCTCTCTGAGGTCAAGACACCAACCAGCGTAAGACATCAGAGGTGTTTCCCAACCCCCCATCTCCTGTCATGTCTCCACTACTGCTGCTTAGTAAAGGCCTAAAACACCAGCCCCACGACAAACACTCAGAGACGAGCAGAAGAGGAGAAGGTGAGTCCTCAGAGAGGGAGTCACGATCGTACATTGAGGTCATCGGAGAGCGCGCAGGCCTCGATCACAGCCTGGTAGAAGGCAGCATCGTAGTCTTTGCCAAACAGGATGTTGTTTCGCACTGATGCGTTCTGGATCCACGATTCCTGAGCGGCCAGACCAAAGCCGACCTCTCTGTCTGCCACATAGAGCACTCCACTTAGCCTGCAGACAAACAAGGAGCATGAATGGACCTCAGTGCAGCCGAACAAACAGCCACTTCCTCTCCGTCTGTGTACCTTAGACTCTAGAACAATTGCACTCTTGAGCTATTATTAAAAAGCTGCTCTTGTGAAGTCTGATTCTGTCTCCATTTGGGATGAAACGCATCATTTAAGGCCGTTCGTGTGTTGAGCTGTATGACAGCCTCTGACTTGTCAAATAACTGATTTAATTCTACGTTGGAATATGTAAATAGATCTCTAACTTTCACAGTGTTCCAGAAAATCCCTGCCTATTGCAAAAGCTCTGGATGAAAGCAATCATTGTCTAAGTACAATCTAAATATCTTGAGTAAAGCTGGAACAGTGGTGTACCTGTTGAGTTCTCCAGTGAGAGCAGCCAGTAAAGAACTCTTTCCACAGCCGACCTTCCCCACCACAACGACAAGAGAGCCCTGAACCAGACAGACATGAACAACGTTAGTGCTCAGGTTACCCTCAAACTGTTAAATTAGAAAAATTCTGACACAGAAAAAAAGGTCATCGAAGCTTTTAAACGCTTAATTCAGTCCCGATGTCATTTTTTTAACTTTCAGAGCCCAAACTGGATTACGGTCGAGACACATCACTGAATTTCAGATCAGCCGTCAGTTTCTTGTTATAT